AAAGCGATGCAATGTTTGCTGTAATTTCGACTTTTAGTAACACCTCTTGTGTCGCATTAAGCTTTCGCGTTGCCTGAAAGACGTAATAATGCTTTTTTTAACGTTGTGTTGAGAATGACAACGTGGTTGACAATACTCATGGGACCACAAATTATTGACAGTTTTTGTCTTGCATGACAAATTTCTTTGTAAGTTCTTTGTAGGTTTGCATGCATGGCGATAAAACACATAATACTCTTGTTTGTGGAAACACCAAATTTCTTTGTTTTGAAAGCGTGTCGTCGAGCAGGCCGCGTCGTAGATCGTAAACTCCCTAGTGGCTAGGGCACAGCGTTTGAATACCTCATCAATATTGGGTAATGCAATCAATTAGCTGGAAAATCTCAACAACAATATCAGATACGAACATGAATGAAAAATCTTCGAAGCCCTTGAAATTCGAAAATATACGGACAAGATTATGAACGGTTGTGTGGGCCGTATTCTTAAAACATCTAAATTGCTTAATTTTTACTTTATTCTTACTTAATGACTTTTTTAAAATAGATTTTTAACAATGTCCATTTTAAGATAACCTATTATCCATAGCACTTACTTGTGTATATATATAGGGTAGAATATTATTCAAGATTTATTGTATCATTGATGAAGCCCTGACCGACGGGATATCCCATACTAAATCAATTACTATCGTTTCTTTAACAAGTACGATCGTACTACTGGGACCTGGAACTGGTCACTACGTTAATCCATCGTTTTAGAACTCAATTCTTGCGTTGTTTCGCGAGGCGTTTTTTATTTTTAAATATCTTAAAATAATCAGCCATATTTTTTAGATCGGTGAGATGACCAATTGGATGACCACCTATAAGCACCCCTTCAGGAACCATTGTCCGTGCACTGAATTAGTACCAGAATTTACCGGAATTAGATCATTCAGCAGAATTGCGGTGCCCGTGCCATGTTTGGCCGGCACCGCATTATATTCTACCTGCGAGTTTGTCCGTCCGTTTGTTTGTCCGTTTGCTAGTGTGTTCGTATCAATACGTTTCCTTAATCGCCTACTAAAAATTCCTTGCACGTGCTCGGAATTAATTAATGAATTATTATTAATCTTGTACTCTCAATATCGATTACTTGCTAGGCTTTATCTCTGGTTTTATGCGTCAAACAAGGACAAAAATACCACTGTTCGAATCAGCGTGAAAACTTAGCGATTTATGGCCTTTGAAAGACAAGCCGCTCAAAATAATCCTTCACGTTTTCCGAATTCCTTTTCTCTAGGAAAGTTTTCTTTCAAATTAATCTCGGACACTCACGATTGACTTTTGGCTGCGCCTTATCTCTGGTTTTATGCGCCCAATAAGGACAAAAATACCACCGTTCGATTCAGCGTAAGAAATTATACTCACAGATGTCAAATGTATTACTAAACAACAGTATTCTAGCGATTTATGGCCTTT